TCAAAAATCAGGTTAAACAGTGGGGCAGAGGAACACGGTGGTGCTGCCACCCGCTAATGGGCTGAATCTGCTGGCATTCCTCGTCTCCCCAGACTCGCTGCGTGGGAACAGGCTGCTGGAGAGGGCTCCCCTGCTCCCCCGGGCACGGGGGGCTGCAGCCACCTCCTCCTGCCCCAGCACAGGCACTAACAGGCGGGTTGTGGCAGACGGCGGCATCGCTGCTGTCCTGCAAGGCCCGTGGCCACGACTGAGCGCCCCGGGGCCCTCGCCTGGGGAGGCTGCTCTGCCTCTTTGCAGAGGCTGCCGAGTGCCACGTGGCGCGGGGCAGAAACAGGGTTTGGCCTTGGGTTATTTGGAGTCCTTTTTTGGGGGGAGAAATGCTGTATCCTGAAAGTTACAGTTAAGTCCATGAAGTTGAGGAGACGGCTCGTGCGGGAAGGTGGGTTTCCTCGTGTTTTAACTCTGCGCTAGATCACAATTGCAGATGAGGCCTTGCTTCTGGCAGAGATCAACCTCGTGCTTCAGGAAAAGCTAAAGGTGGTGAGAAAACGCAGGGAACTGCTTAGTCAAGTGTCTGTTGCTCTTTCCGAGGTGAGGAAATGCCTTCCTCTCCCAGACTAGTGACTAGTATGTGCTCTGTGTGGTCATTCATCTGGAGGTAGCAAACTGTTTTATGAAGTTGAAGGGATATGGAAAGAGATGGAGGAAGGAGGTGTGAGACAGCAGTTGTTTCATTTGACAGCCCTGCTGGCTAAGCATATTGGCCTGACAGAAATTAGGATCCCTCAAAGCATCCATCCGTTGGGTGAAAAGGGAAGGCAGGCTCAGCGCTTGCGTGCAGCTTAGCTGCACTGGAGCCGGGCAGAAAAATGTATGTTTCCTGCAGAGACATGGCCAGTTAGAACATAACAAACGGGGAATAAACGTGTGATGCTGAAGTGGTCTGCAAGTTAGGAGAATTTTGAACCTCTGGCTGCCAAGTAAGTAGACAGCAAGAGACTGAGCTGGCTTGTAAGCAAGGCAGAGCATCTGTACCCCCACGTAACTGCTGTGTAGTCCTGACAGATTCTAACTGGGTTCTTACTGTTTCCTTTATCCCCAGGCCCTATGTTGACCTAGTGAATATCCTGCTCACTTGTGGTGAGGAGGTGAAAAAGGCAATAACTAGAAGCGTCCAGGCCCAGTGTGAACAGAACTGGGGAAGCCTCTGCTCTATCCTGAGCTTCTGCACCTCCGCTGTGCACGGAGACTCCATCCTGAGTGCGGAGAAGAAGGCGGGCGAAGGCAGCAGGGCGGCCGCCGGCCGCGGGGACATGCTGGCCCACTCCGAATCCGACCACCGGGAGAGCTCGCGAGCGCCCAAGGGGGAGAGAGGTACCAAGGGCCACCTGAACGCCCATGCCCGGGGAAAAGCCGGGGCCCACAGTCCCAAAGGGGCGCACGGGATCATGGACCGGGCAGACGAACTGTCCGACTTCTCTGACATCCGGAGGTGAAAAAAGGCACCAACCTCCCCTCAAGCCCCTTCCTCCCCCTCCACTGGAAGCGTCCTCCGTTGAGTCCATCTCCCTGTCTATGGACATTCCAAAGCATTTCCCATTCAGAGGTCACACGCAGGGCATTGCAAGATATTTGGACCTCAGCAACATGTATATAGTAGCAAAGGGAGAGCAGTGGCAATGGGTTATTGATCCAGCAAACTCAACACTTGAGTAGCCACCGAACATGGCAAAATGTCTCCAAGTAAATTCTTTCCCCTTTTTACAAAATGGATGTTGGTTGAAATTCAGGATCTTGTTTTGAGGTTGTTGGGTTGTTTGTGGGGGTGTTTTCTCTTGGTTCCCTTAGCTGGGGAGGAGGTTACAGGAGGGCTCTGCCAGGTTGTGTTTGGCCACACGTGGCTTCCCACCCCTGAAGGTTTAGGGTGCAGTCTGAAAGCAGATGGCCAAATCCCAAAGGAATTTGGTTTCTGCCTGTGGCTGAGGACAGAAGAGTTCAAGGCTGTCTGTGACACACTCTGGTGAACCAACTGTCTCATTTCTTGCACAGGAACCTTGCAGTCTTGAGCTCTGTCATTTTCTCTTAAGTAACTCCTGAGCCATTGCTCCCGCCTGGGTGATGCTGCCTCCTCTAAGTGCCCCCTCTTTGTTTCCTAACCACTGCACAACTTGGCACTTGCTTATCCAGTTACTTCAGGATGCCAAAGACTTAAGTGGTCACCTTCCAGACAAGACACCGGGACTGTTACAACTTGCTTAGCTGCAGAACACAGTGTGGGGGACCCCCAAGCGCAGGTTCACAGACCTCTAAACTGCCCAGGGATAGTCTGTTGCGGACATTACACCTGCCCGCTCAGTGACATGGCTGTAAGAGCAGCCACCTCCACCCTTGTGCACAGCCCAAGCTTCCAGGGTCCGGTGTAGGCCCAGGCAGCTGGGGAGCCTATATTCTGCCTCTTCTAGGAAGCAGCTTGGTGCAGGTCAGCTGTGGTTTGTCAAAATGCCAAAGACTTGGGAGGGAGCTCTGACTTCTGCTCTTTGTCACGCAGGTAACGGCGCCAGGGTCTGCAGAACTGGCGGCTGGAGAGGGAAGGGTGTCGGGAGCTCATTCCCTCCTGGGTAATCCTTAGTGCAAAGGAGGTGTTAGGACACATCTCGCTTACCCGCGTCCCCTATGCAATTGTAATTCTCAGGTTGCAGCTCTGCAATCCCATAGCCCCAGATGCCCCACTGGAAAGGTAGGTTACAGCACCACGGGGACAGGAGGGTGAGCTCCTTGGCTTCCTCGGGAGAAAAAGTGAATTTTCTGGGAAAGTGGGAATCACACCAAGTGTTTGAGCCTTCTCATTTAGGGAGCCTGTGAGGAAAGCTGTGGGGGCAGGAAGGCAGTTCAGAAGAGACAGAACGTACCAGGGAACGAACGTGTCGCGTGGTGGGTAGGAGCTGTATAAACGGCAGAGCGTGTTGGAACTTGGCTACAATTTCCAACTTAGATTTTCGTTCCTGCTAAGCGAACTCAGCTCCTAATAACTTTATTCAGAGTTTAATGCATGTATCCACCAGCAGAATTTATAGGCACTACTTTTAATAGAAGTCACGTAGGAAGCGAAGAGGATCGTTAAGTTGAAAAGATACGTCCTTATGTGATCACCAGGTCTTTATTTAAAGAAAGGACCTTGATCTTGTTTCATTTTTACTCCCAGTTAAGTTCTGTGACAAAAATTCTTATTGATTTTATTGGGAAGACCTGGGATTGGGCCAAATGCTGTAGCTACGAAGACTGCTGCGCTGAGGAGCAGAGCTCCTTGCAGCGGCATCGTGAGGTGGCCCGCGCTGCCGGAGCCACCCTGGCCCTGGATGTGTCCCCAGGGATGTCCCCAGGAGCAGCTGCCAAGGGGATTCCTGCCTGGCCCCTGGCCCTGGCTGCTGCTGGGCCAGAAGGAGGTCCCTTCCCCCCGGCCCCAGAGCTGCCCAGGATCATCCTCTTGTCCCATAGTCCACGGCCACAGGAAGGAACAAGCTCAAACCAAAAAGCGAATGGAGTCGTTTCAACAGAGAGCAGAACAACTCGCTACCACCACAATGTCCTTGCACCAAACTGAAATAAGATCCCCCTCCCATGAGAGGCCTGATTTATCTATGGCAACCAAGCACATAGATCTACATCCTTGAATGTCTCGGTCAACAGAGCACCTCAGCATGCATATGGTTTTATTTGTATTCATTCATTCTGAGTGGGGAAAACTCTATATTCCCCCCATTTAGTCAAAGAAAAAGTCTTTCTTTTGTTGGGAGCTGGGAGGGGGGATTTTTGTATGAGGCATAACTTTTTTTTTTCCTCTGTGTGTGAAGATTTTATGTGTTCATCTACTGATTCCACATATGCTATTATTGTAAATATTTAACATTTCTATTTATTATAGTGTCTCCATTAAAAAAAAAAACACTGCTGGCTATGATAATTTAAACGTATGTCATGACCTGTGTTGTATATATTCATGCCACTAGTATGTTTTTTTTATGTTTAAAGCAGCGTAAATATAGTTTTATACAGTTCCATAATGTTATTGACAGCATAAATCATTTATTTATTGTTAAACCTTCTTTCATATCTAACAAATAGGGTGCGTTTTACCTGAGAGTGTTTTATTGTGACATCTGCATAGCCTTAATTCTTTATAAACTCTTAAAAAGAAAAAGACTGTCCACGTAGATACTGTATGATGCTTTAATTAACACTCCTTATGAACTTAGTGTTCAGGAAGGAGATTTAGCTTAAAAGCTAAGGTGTATAATGTTTCCTTAACACTTCACCTCTGGAATGAGCCTTGTTCAGGAATGGAAATACTGGGAGAAGCAAAATGCCTCCTGGAAGATGATACCCATAAACCCTAGAAAATGCTGTCCTAGCTTAAAGTGCTGAAATGAAAGAAAAATATAAATAAAAATCTATCCTTCAATTCCAAATCTCTGGGAGAAAAACATACTAGTTTTATCTCATGTAGAATTTGCAGCCAAATAAGCTTGTTTAAAGAAAAATGCATATGGCTTTAGAGAAAGCTCTGTACCTTTCACACTATTATTTTCCTTAAACACTAATAAATGTTTTGAATAAGTGTGGCTGGCTCTGTTCGGGGCGCTAAGGGGTGGAAGGGCACAGGGCCCGCGGGGCCCCTCCTGTCCCCTGCACAGGGAGCAGCCGGGTCCCTGCACCCAGCGCAGAGTGGGATTCCCGAGGCCCCTGGTGCTTTGGGAGCAGCATCCCCTGGGAAGGGGCTTGGCCCGGATGGGGAGCAGGGCTCCGCGTGCGGGATGTCGGCCAGCCCCGCTCGCAGATTCGGCAGCGACGCCTTCCAGAAGCCACAGAGCTGGGGGTTGTGCTCCAGCAGGGACGGGGACAGCCTGCGGCTCCGGACACGGAGGCGACAGGCAAGAAGAGCAGCCCCCGGTCACTCGCCCATGGCTCCAGTAGCACCCGAGGAGGGATCGCGGGCCCCAGTCTCAGGTGTCTACCAGAATTGCAGCAAGGGAGAAATACCACAGCCTGACTCACAAAAAGCAAACCCTGGAATTACGCTTTTGTGCTGCCTCTGAAACTGACAAATAGTAAAATAAATTAAATTTTAAAAAAGATGGCTTTTCCCCTTCCTTTTCATAGCCTGTCACTGCGTAGGCAGTGAGGCAATGGAGGAACTATGAGAAAGCAACTCAGAACATAAGGCAGGGATTTTTTTTTAAGGCTGCTTGCATGAAAAAGCACATTTTTAATGCTCCTTCTGTGAGGTTTAAAAATAACTAATACAGCTGAAGCCTCTGGCTAAGACGGACTCCAGGAGGCTGGACGTGCCGCGCGGCAGCGCGGGCGCTGCGGCGTTCTCTGCCGCTGGGCACCGCAGGCGCCTGCAGCGCTGCGCAGACGCTGCCCGCGCCCAGGGCAAGGCACAACCTGCTCCTCGACGGGTGGCAGCGTGCGGCGGGACGCGGCTTCGGGCCAGCCTGCAACGGGCTCGGCCGCAGAGCTGCTGAGGCCGGACCATTCACCGCCATTAAGGGCATTTTTTTGCAGGCGCCGGCGCGA